CAGCAGTTCTCTCCTTTGATAGCCTGGGATCTCCCTCTTCCTCCATCCAGCACATCACCGTGAGCTCAAAGGCAGCTGGCAGCTTTTTTTTCCACCACAACCTTTTAGCAAAACCATAACCACCCCACTGAGAAGCACTGTGGAAGACCCACAACATTATGAGAAGGGTCATCAGTGGCACCTGATGACCAATCTCTAAGCCACAGCCAAACCAGGCCAGTACGGCGAGGACCAGGCAGGCTGGGAGGAGAAAGCCACGTGAAGCATCACTGGTGCCACGGCTCAAAACTCATCTGCCTCAGCTGCCTCTTCACGCTGCTCGCTCCCTGCCTCCTGAGCTACCAAAGGCGAGGAAGACTCCGTGGAGAACGAGGAAGTGGTGGTGGTGGCAGTGTCACAGTAAGGACAGAGGCTCTAGTCCTTCTGTGTGTGCCAGACCAGGAGAAGGGATCCACAGGAGCTGGAGAACCTCTCAGCCATGAACTTCAGGCTCTGAACTGTGTAAACTCCCAAGGTTGACACCAAGCAACCGTCACCTCCACCTCAGAGAAATGTTGTAGGAATAGGCTGTTCTTCAGCCAGTAGCACCTTCACGCAACCAGGCGTCTCCTTCCTCCCGTGACCAAGGGACGGATCACTTTGGAAAAAAAATCAGGGACACTCCAGGGCCAGCATGATGACGTGAACTTCAGCCGCCACGCCGAACTTGAGGGTAAGGATCAGTTCAACACAATGAAATGCAGCCGGTCCTGCCGGGTTTGGGGAGGGCAGCTGGGCCAGGTCCTCCTGCCTTCACAGCCTTTCCGGAGCTCGTTCACGGCAACTCGATGGCTTTTGTGTTGTAGCACCCCGGAGGAAGACTCCTCCGGATATCCTCCAGGTTCTTAATATCTGCCAGGATCTCGTCAATGCTGCTCTCCAGCGTCCGCACACGGGCCTTCTGCAGCGTGGCTGTCTGCTCCAGCTCCAACATCTCATCCTTCAGCTGGTTGCTTCTGGTTTTGGCTTTGCTGAAATTCATCTCGAGCTGCTTCAGGCCCTCCTCATCCACGGCACCAGGTTGGTCTGTTGCACAGGAGGAAAACAAGGAAGAGGGAACCATGGGTGGAGGCTGAGGACTAGGTCTTTCTAGATACTTCATCTCCGTCCTGCTGCCCGTCTACAGGCATCATCCCAGGCAGATTCCTGCACAACTCCCAGCACCCCTGCCTAGACCCCAGCGGAGACCTGTCTCCATCCACACCCTACAGCAGCATTGCAGAACCTACTCATCAGACGCAGCAGCTCTTCCAGGGCGCTCAACGTCTCCTGCACGACCACCCCTGCCCGGCCAGCCTTGGCGTGGACACTCTGAGCTTCCTGAGCTGTCTGAAGAAGGCAAGGTGGCAGCTGTAAGGTGAAGTCTCACCCAAAGGTCAACAGGGAAGGGGAAAAGGCGTGGGAGACGGGCACCCACCTCCTGTATCACAGCAGCATCCGCTTCAACCTCTAAAAGCTTCCTCTCAAATTCACCATCTGCTTCCTTGGCCTCGCGCCGCAGGGTGGCCACAGCCTTCTCCAGGGCGAGGACACCATCAGCTGTCTTGTTGGCTTCCACCTTCAGCCGCGTAATCTCCTAGGGAAGGCAAAGGCACTTTCAGAGGGGCAGAGCACAGCCAAAAATCAGTCTGAGTGCACCAGGGCATAGAGCTGGTGGAAACTGGTTCCTTCCAGAGGGACCCAAAGTTATCACAGGCTCTCCTTCACGAGCTCCCATCAGTTCTCTACAGAGTTGTTTCTATGACCATGGCTCAACCCCTCCCGTGCACATCAGCGAATCCCTGGGGAATTACAGCACAGTCTGGGAGTCGGACCCACCAACACCAAGTCTGGGAGCTCACAAACCTGCCAGCGACTCAGGACTGTGGAAGTGAAAAATCCCCTTGGTTACTGACAGGTGGCTACAGTGAGATGCCACAAAGGTCCTCATGGGACAAACGTGCCTGGAGAGATCCCCACGCACCCACTCATCCAGAGCCAACTTGAATATCTCTGCAGGATCCACTATATACAAATGTCAGGCCCACCATGAAGACCCACTGGAGTTGCCAGCTATCTCTTCCTCTTCCATGGTTTTCCCTTCCAAACCCTTTTCTGCCAGCAATAGCACCAGGGCTTGCCCTCACCTGCTGGATCTCCATGGTGATCTCCTTCGCTTTCCCCGCCGCGCTGTTGGCTGCCTTGGATTCAGAAGCAGCACTGCCCAGGATCGCTTCAGCTCTATCCGTCTTCTCCCTGGCACTTGCAACCATGCTGCTGATAATCGGTAGCCTCCTCATGGCATCTTCAGCTTCCCTTCTCTTGTCATCTGCTTGCAGGTTAAACCCTGAAAGAAACACAGGTGGAAATGAAGCCACGCCACCTTTGTGAGATCCCACGAGCGAGGGGAGAGAAAGGGTTTCTAGGACATTACCCCGGAGGCTCTTCAGGATCTGTTCCACCTCGTAGAAGGTGGCATTGCCAGCGCTCACGGCTTGCAGGGCTGTGCTCCTGGCGAGGTTGGCTCGGGACAGCAGCTGCGTCAGCGTCTGCGACAGGCCAAAGGGACACAAGTGGCAGATGAAGGACACGGTACGGGAGCATCGGACAAATCCCAGAGCAGTCTACAAGGAGCCGCGCTGGGGGAGAAGACCCACTAGCCTGTTCCCAAATGCCTGCGGTTGCCCCTGAATCAAGATCACCACAGTCTGATCTGGCAGCAGAGGCTTGCGCCAGTGCTCCTCAACCAGCTCCAGCCATCCCAAGTCAACTTAGCTCTAATCTTCTCAGGAGCAGGTCTTCAACCTGCCTCATATGGAGGAGATGTGTAGGTGAGACCCTACACCAGCAGCCCTGTTCACACGGTGAGGTCTCCCACCAGCTCCAGAAGACCCACCCCAAGCAGCTGCGTTTCTGAGGAAGGGTCCTATCCCGCAGCAGCCGGGCAGAGCTACATCCCCTGTGGCTAACACGTAGTAGTGGTGGTGCCATGGGCATCCCACCATGGCTCCAGCCTGCGCTGAAGACAACTCGAGCCGCAGCCCCCCGGCCAACCTCTTACCGCTCTCTCGCCCTCTCCCCTTCGCAGCAGCTCCTTGATTTCCTCCTCCCAGCGCCCTGTGCGGCTCTGCAGCTGCCTGTGCTGTGCCATGTAGGTGTCCACCAGGCTCAAGAGAGCGTTGGCATCCTCCTTCAGCCGAGTTGCTTCCCCCTGAAACAGAGAGGTGATGACTGCCCAGGTGTCCCAGCATAGCCCCAGTGCTCGCCATGATGCAAGCAATGATGGATGCTTCTCCTGCTCCTTGTGCTGCAGCCAGCTATGGGGGCAAAAGGGTGGGAAGATGCCTGTCCAATGGTTCTCCAACTGGGATGGAGCACTCGGAAGGGCCGAGCTGCTGACAAGGAGGGCGTAGGTGAGAGTGAAAGAGGATCTCCTGGTCCCACAGGCACAAAGCCCTCACCTCAAAGGAGCTGATGTCGGTCTTTGTCAGGCGGGACAGGGAGTTGAGGAGCACCAGGCTGCCTTGATAAGCCTGATCTGCTTCAGAGGCCATCCCGTCAGCCTCATCCTTCAGGCCTCCGGCCAACGAATTCAGCTCCTCATACCTGCACGAACAGGAGGTTGAAGATCACGGTACCAGCCAAGTCACCAAACCCCACCACAGCATTAACGCTGCCTCCTACATTGACTTGTCCACACTCCCCAAGCCCTCTCCAGGCCCCTACAGATTTATCATGCTGGGAAAGTGAATTGCAAACATCCCTCTGCCAGGTGCGGTGACCACTAGCTCCTTGCTCCCACTCCAGGAACCAAAGGTGTTTCCCACCAGCCAAACCCTCACCAGCTCCATGGTGGCCCTGCTAACCCCTGCCCTACCACTGGATGTTTTGTCCTGCACATCCCTGTTCAGCTCCTGAACTTCGTTCATGGATGTTAATCCCACCCCATCAGTGGTGTGCAAAATCCCAGCACCATGGTGGGCTCTGGAGATGCACCAGCCCGACCAAGAGAGTCACCCGGACAACACGGGGCTAAACCCACCCCAGATTTCCAACCACGCATGGAAGTCGCTCCTGGAAGCCTGATCCCACATAGGGCATTAAACCCCTTCCCCATCTGCAGGCAGGTTCCCTGGGAGCATCATGGTCCATGGGTGGGAAGCAGATGCTCCACAGAGCTGCTGACCCTCCATCTCCACCTC